TGCTTTTTTGAAAGCATTTCAGAAAGACCCAAAGACTGATTGTAGGTAGGTGGATTTAAAGAGTGGCAGTTCTTAAAGATGTTTGTATGCGGAATACCAAACAGCTGTTGCAACAAATCTGTTGCACTTGGAGAGGCATTCCTTTTTTCAGGTCTGATTCATTTCTGTAGGTTGTTATTTCCATTCGCTTTACTCTTCTCTATCCTCCGTCATCCTGGTCTCTTTTGGGTTGGTTTTTGTCTTTTTTTTAAAGTTTTTCTTTTACACCTGGCTGCTTTTCTCTCTTTCTTTCGTTCTTTTTTTTCCTTTGAATTTACGACAGTTTTCCACGCTGCAAATAATACGCCATAGCTTCGCTGTTCGACTCTTGACTATGATAGTTTTTGTCTTTTCCCTACAGCGTGGTGTTCAGCAAAATGAAAGATTGCATGGTCTACCTCACGAAGGTTTGTTGGAGAGACCAGCCGGCGGTCGCAAGCCAAGCCAAAACGATCGTTGACGCTACCTATAAGAAAGAAGAACATTGTGGGCAAACTTCTTTCGAACTCCCCACTATGCCACCAGGCAATGACTTTTGTTCCGCATCATTTGACAATGATATAAGCAATTGCGTTCAATCCTTTGAACAAAAATTTAGGAAGGACAAATCAGATTCCGCTCTTTGCTCGTAAGTTAAATGAACATGCCTTTTATATCTTTGATTGGAAGTGGAGTAAAGTTGGATGGGGGGGGGGGGGGGGGGGGGGGGGGGGGGGGGGGGGGGGGGGGGGAAATAGGGTAAGATATAACCCAGTGCTAGTTTTTGTGGTGTTGCTATTCCTGCTTGAAACAGGAGGGATTACTGTTGAACCCAACTTCACTCCAACTAAGCAAAAGACAGAATACCTTTCAAACCGGATAAGGCACACAGCTTTTTACACAAATAAAATGTCGCATCACAACTTTATCTTTAATATAATTCCGTTCTTCCCTTCATCAATCCCTTGATTTTTACTATTGGATTTTTATAAGTATTACTGCTCATGGTCTGAGTCCGTCATGGTAAACACTCCTTACCTCCCCCCCCCCCCCCCCCCCCCTCCCCCCTTCGGGTTTTGTTGTAATTCTCTGACAGTTCACCTGTATTCTTTTGTATTACTGAGTGGGTGGGACAAGAGTGAGAATTTAGTATATTCCTCAGTGACTCCCCACAATGACCGACCAAGGGCCGAACACTTTGAAGAAGCCAGCGCACTTATCAGTGTGCCACCACTTTACTCTTTAGAAAGCATTTTACTTTTTCTGAGCAATCGTTGTGAATTTGCATTTTTCAGAGAATATGCTAAAGCAAAGAAGTGTTCAAGGGACGTGATCGATTCCGACTGCAACTACCCATCCGAGACCAAGGAACTTTTGGACTTGCTTTATGATGCCTACAATCCTTTCTGCGCGGACAATCGTGACCCAGGGGCGACCAAAAATAGTCCGTGCTCTGGTGTGGTGATTGAGAAAGATGCTAATGCAGCCGCTGGAACAAAGCCCAGCGTATTCCAGGCGCTGATGTTTGCTTTCTTTCTGTTTCTGTTCCTCTTTAAAGCTTAAAAGATCTAAGTATCTTGGTTATCTTGATTTACAGAAGAGTTTCTAGTCTTATGGGTTTAGCTTAAAAACAACAACAACAACAAGGTTTTTTGACATGATCAAAGTAGTGCAGTTCACGTTAAAATCTAAATTAGAAACAGTTGTTAAAGTTGTGTTTCAGTAAAATGTTTCTTTCATTTTTTGTTATTTTTCAATTCTTTTGAAAGAGTAAATCAACATTGATGGAAGGGTTTCTTGATAACTTGTAAGCCTTGTCTCTGAACACGCGAGGCTGCGCTATCCCCACCTTTCGTTCATAAGGAGAGCACGGTTAGATCATGTCGAGTCACCTGAAATTTATCACTTTCATCGTAAAAATCCTTATTGTGGGTTTTAGCAAACACATCAATGATTCCCTTGTTATTGAAGACTTCGTCACCAAATTTGGGCATGGGTCATTTGAGAGAAAGCTGGTGAAATTACTGAATGGGAAAACTGAAAAGACGTTTTCCGTTTTCCCTTTTTCATTTTCCGTTTTCCGTTTTTCGTTTTCCGTTTTCTTATTTGCCTCGTCATTTACTCTTATTTTGAAGGCATATTTTGAAAGAAATGTAAATTTTTTTGCTCATTAGCGAAAAATGAATAATCGTCTTACATGTACGAGACCAACATTTTCATGTTTCAATAAGACGACGATTTTATAAAATGTCTACTTTCATGCATTTCATTCGCTAGAAAACCAACGCAACGGTTTTTGGAATCGGTCGACTTTTCTAAGAAAAATTTCTTTCTAGACAAAACTTCACTGCCTGATGAGTGAATTCTACGTTAAATTTCACGCAAAAAACCGATGTCGAGAGAAATTTAACGTGGAATTCACTCGTCAGGCAGTGAATTTTTCTTGAATCGCATAGCTAAAGCCACCATATCATTGGGCGAAACCAAACGTTTTGCATTTTTGTGAGCTGCGCCAGCGTGCAAACAATGGAAACCCTTTGAAAGTCAGGTGTCAAGAACCAGCGAATGGGAAACAAGATTTTTTTAAAATGAAAACCATTTTTATATAAAAATCTCGAACCTCGAGGAGAAAGCAGTGTCTCACATTTTACAATATGCAGCCAAAAAAGCTGAAAGTATAAAGTACAGAGTTATTGAAGACAAAGCCTTTATAGAAAAATTCTTTCATTCGATGCTACTATACAACTTAGCAAAATATGGCGCCGACAATCAATAACTGAAATTTTCAACCTAAAGGAAAATTACAAGCGTTCTGGTATTTAAACAAGACCTGCAAAAAACCGTTAAGTGCTTTATGTTTATAAATATATGTTATTCGCCAGCCGGGAGGTCCCTATCGGGGAAAACTGTGCCCGAGGTCTTGAGTGCCGCCCGAGGCCGTAGGCCAAGGACGGTCCTCAAGACAGATGGTACAGTTTTTCCCAATACTGACCGACCTAGGCTGGTGAATAACATTTTTATTTTTTTTTTTCAAACTTTAACAAATGTGTAAATCTGGTCTTTTTTCCACAAAAACTAAATTCAAACCTCGCTAAGAACCAATCAAAT